AATGTATAAAGTTAAGCTTAAAGCTAATTCTGAACAAAATATAAAAAACACCTCAAATCCACTGTGTGGTATACTTGTCTTCCTCACTTAAGGTTATCAAAATATAACTAACAAAATAAAAGATTAATTCTTATTCATAGTTATTTCATTGTATTCAAGAGGAAGTTTGGCTGGCATCATTACAAGGAAAAAAGAGAGAGATCACAAACTGATTTAGGGGACAAGTGAGATTCAGTTTCAAAAAAGGGCATTTGTTTTTATAAACATTTTACATACAAATGAGTAAAAAAGATCAAACTGTTTTCAGTCAGTCAGTTTTTAAAATCTTTAATTACCCTAAGAGGAGAATATAATACCAGTGGAGTCAGAGTTAGACAGTTTTGATCGAGTTTAAAAACGTTTTTGGGACCAGAGATAAGATCTTGTTATTATCTACAGAATAACAATCTCTGTTTGTAAAAGCCCTAAGAGTTATAGCTCAGGTTCAGGTTCAGGTTCAGGTTCATGTTATTTATTTGTACCCATAGGTAGATTCTGTTTGCAGAGAAAAAGACAAGGGTTCCATCCTGACACTAAAAACAAACACAAACAACAGACACATCTCTAATAAAGGACTAGATATGATGTGCTCAGCAGCTCACACACTAGCTTCATGTGACGCGTCATGCCTTTGACTTCTGAAACCTGCTCGATCAATAACATAATGTACTGGATCATAGAAATATACCTTTTCAAAAAATCAAAGCTTCCTTCCTAACTTCATTCTCTGACCTGCAATCATAACCAACTTTATAATTTGGTATCTAATTTTAGTCAGGATCAGTCCATAGATAACAGGGTTGAGAATAGGGGGCACCAGGAGAAATTGTATAGCCATGAAGTTCCTTACACTCTGTGACACAGATGCTGACCCATACCGTGAGTACATAATGTCAAAAAGCAAAGCGGCAGTGACATTAAACAGACAAAACAAATGTGGAACACATGTCTGTGTAAACTTTCTCATAACATCCTTGGATTTTAAAGCTGATTTGACCAACTGCACATAAGAACAAAAGATGAAGACAACATGCGCAATATAGAAAGTCACTACGATCAATCCAATAATGCTGTTTACTGCATTTGAACTACAAGCAAGTTTGACAATTGACCAGTTCTCACAATAGAGTTTATCTATCTGAGAACCACATAATTTTAGTTTAGATGTCAAAGTAATAACCATCACTTCACAGGAGAGAGGGACAAGCCAGGAGAGAGCAATAAGCACAGCAGTCCTTTGCACAGACATTATTGAGTGATACTCCAGAGGTCGACATATAGCCACATATCTGTCATAGGCCATAAGAGCTAAGACAGAGAAATCTATTGATGCATAAGAGTATATCGCAAACACTTGTAGAAAGCATCCCAGATATGATATGATTTGATGATCAGACAGCAGATCAAAAACAAATTTTGGATAAAAGGCTGCAGTCCCATAAAGTCCATTAACGCACAGATTACACAAAATAACATACATGGGTTCATGCAAATTTGTGTCCAAGATAATGGTGATAATGATACAAAAGTTAACCACCACAATGAGAAAATAACATAGTACAGTGAGAGAGACAATTGTGAATTTGTAGTTGACAGTCGCACTGAAGCCAGACAAGGTAAAAAAAACTATACTAGATGAGTTAGTTATGTTGCTGTAATTCATTTTAAACTAAAATTCTCAAAGTCATGAACTGTATTCAAAAGATCTGACCGTTTATTTTAAAAGGTATAAACACTGATTGTTAACCTGCAATATGTTCTGTGGGTGTTTACCATTACCTGTCCAGGCATCCTACTGTTGCACTGTGTCAGTGTAGTCTGATGTTAAAGGGAACTCCCTCTTTGCCGCAGGCATTTCATTGGATGGCAGCTCAGAGAAAGAAAAAAAAGATATTTATTAAAATATAACAATGGAGACAAACCAAAACAAACTATTGATTCAAGGTTGTTTAATCTTAAAACTAACAAGTGTTTCATCTGAACTGTTAAAGCACGATAACATAAATGCATGGTGTTGAGCATTAGCTCAATTAATTCAATTATGTCGAGAACTCACAGCTTCATAGTTTCTTATGCTACTTTGATAGCTGGACTCCACCACTTTTCCCTTCAAAAACGTTCTTCATCCATAGTGTCTTCACACTTCACCTTATACAGTAATATGCTATTTCTTTTACACTTAATGTTAAAATATCATACTAATACATACATTTAAATTGTGCTAGCGGCACTTCATATTGTTTATATTTGACGGATAATCTACAGAAATATATCTTTCAGTCAAAATGTACATCTTGTATTTTATTTAGTTCTGTTTTTATTTTCTATTTTGAGATGTTTATATTTTACGTTTGTTTATTTTCTACTCTTTTTCATTTTCACATTATGTGCAATGCCTTGTTTACATGATGCAAAAAAAAAAATCCCAAATTGGGATCAATAAAATAAATCTTATCTAATCTAATTTTGATTGGTACATTTTTCAGTAATGGAGTGAATAGTTAACTTCTGAGCCCTATAGAAGAATATTTTTCTTAAGTTTCAGTCAACACAATGCTGTTGTCACACAATGACATGTGTAAGCCAATTTGTGGGTGTTATAAAAAGGAGAAGCCCAATTTAATGTCACCCTCACACCCCATTTAGAGTATTGTTGTGATCTGGTGATTTTGGGTCTTGTGTGACCATTTCAGAAAGAAAGGGCGCAGGCTGAAACTGATGAAATATTTATTTGCTAACAAAAAGGATGTTTGGATTAGAGTTACGTTGGAAATTACCATAAGTGGCCTTCTTGAACAGTAAAGTAGCTGCTGGTAACAGCAGCAAGCATTTACAAGTAATGAGACAGTTGTGTTTGTCAACCTCCAATAATCGCGACCTTCATGTGGTGCAGTCTGACCCCTTGGAGCTGTGATATTGGGAGCTTTACCCCTATACCTTCTGCAAATCTTACATTACATATTGTTTTGGTTTAATCCATGTTAGTCAATCCAACTAATGCTCCTATGCCATCTAGTTGACCAATTTGGAAGTAAAACACCTCCAGCAGACATTACCACCCAGTCTGCATGGGACAATGAATTGGATTCAAAAGATGTCGCAAACTACCACCTGGTGTCAGAAATCCACTCAAAAAGTCCCCGGCAATAACCTCCCAAGGACACAGTGGTCAATTCTCTTTAAATAAAGGTCTGATCACAGCTTGTTCTTGACCAGCCTCCATGGGTAGAACAGCTGCCCAAGCCCACTATGTGCTTTGAGAGAAGAGCCAACGATGGAAGGAGGTTTGCCCTCTCCTAAAGAAGGATTGATCCCCCTCCAGCTGACCAGGGGGCAACTCCTTGGCTCAAGGTCTTTGCTAAAGGAGTAAAGTGCTGCACGTTTCAATGGTGCACATTAACAAAGCCTTGCCTGTCCTTGCTTTGCTGTGACATTGTGTGAAATTGCATTGGAAGGCGATACACCTCTAAAATGATAACTTCCTCCATCATGGACCTTTCCGTTCATTTAGTTCCCTCAAAGGTCAGCACACTCACAAAGTCTTGGAGTTGGTCGCCAAAGCTGAACTTACAGTAAATAACAATATATTTTGTCTCTATGAATTCCTATGATTCTTGTCATTGATAACATTGTTGTCAGATATTTTCCTATTTCACCATTCTTCTAAATTGACAGAGCACATCTTTTTTTAATTATTCAGGAAAAAAATGGGCATTTTTTATTCTAGGCCTTCTAACATTAGTGGCCTTCTCTCAGTGTATAGGGAGTTAGCACGCAGTTGCATGTTTGTTATGCATGGAGACTACTAGTCCCAGTGCATGACATCAACAATAGAACCCCAGAGATGTAGTGGACTAATGACCCTGAGGCTTAATCATCATGTTTACTCTTTGTCCTTCTGAGGTTGCATCACAACAGATGGGAGTTACATCATAAGATCTTTATTGTGTTATCGATAACATGGTAATCTCATGTGACTGAAAGCATCAAGTTGTCTCAAATGTGTTGGCTGTTGTCCTCAGGGCCTCCCGCCTCTCTTGAGCCAACGTTAACTTTCATTAAGAGTGTGTGTATGTCATATTAGCGCTTGAAGGAAAGTGCTAAAGAAAAAACATTTACTTTTTTATTAGATTGATATCCAAATTGTTGTGTGGTGATAAGAGAATTCTGACATGTATGCAACATTTCAATAAAACATTGATGCCGAATAGAAAAAAAAACGGAAGTCCAATCAAAAGAGGAGAAGAAAAAGTGTCCTACTCATACAGTGTAGCATTACAATCCTGCATTGACTTGGAGTGACTTGATCACAAAAACAAGACTATTCACTTGAAAAACGTTCTGGTTTTTCAATCAAATTGAAAAAACACTTAAATCAAAATAAAGAAGAAGGGGTGTCCTACTCGTTCAGTGTTGTGATTCAATGCTACATTGATTTGGGGTCACTTGGTCACATGACATTGAATCTATTGAAAGCATTTGAACTTTTCATTAGAAAAGAATGCTCTGGTTTCAATCAAATATTCATATTCAATAGATATACCTGAATAATTTAATGTTATACATTTAAAATCTGCTTTATCTTACACACTGTACGTTTAATTGATAAACATTCATGGAAACATAGTCTAGTATTAAAGATTTACTCCACTTCTGATGGAGATGCTGGGGATTGAACCCAGGACCTTATATATGCGAAACATACGCTCTACCACTGAGCTACATCCCCTTCTGTCTCTTTAAAGATTGTCTGGTCAATTCATTTATTTATTTTAAGTCTTTTATCAGCATCTTAGTTGTTGAATCATTAGATGGTGTTCAGAGAGATTCTGGGGATTGATCCCAGGACATTATACATGCTGGCAAAAGCTAAATAGATCAGCTCATGAACCGGTTTACATGAGGAGCACTAGTTGATTGTTTGAGATAGTCTTAAGAAGAAGCTACCATTTCAATCATGATGGAGATGCTGGGGATGGATCGCAGGACCTTGTACATACGAAGCACACACTCTACCACTGAGCTACATCCCCTTTAGTTTAACTTTAAGTCGTTGAATTATCAGTCATTATTATCCAAAGCATTTGGTTGCGAAATATCAGTGGACATTCGACAACAGTACACAGTAAGGTTGTTTCTTTTTCACCAGTTCAGGGGGTGTTGAAAGGTGACAGTTATGATGACTGTTAGAGATTCTGGGGATTGATCCCAAGACCTTGTATGAGGTAAGTACGATTAAGAAACTAAATTGTTGTAAGAATGAGGAGCACTTGTTGAGGGTTGGAGGTTGTCTTCATTTAGTAGATGAGAAGATATAGGTAAATGCTTTTGGAGATGCTGGGGATTGATCCCAGGACCTTGTACATGCGAAGCACACACTCTTCCACTGAGCTACATCCCCTTTCTTTGTCACTATTAACTAGCCATGCGTTTCACATTACTACTACTGCCCTATCACCAGAGTGTTTCTAGTGTAATGTTTTGTCATTTTAATAGCCCTAAAAATGTCTACAACCACAGAGCTGACACATTAATAGATGTATTCACTTGTAAAGACCTATAATAGTATGGGACAAATAATGTGTAGCTGGCAGCGGCACGCATAATGCTACGCTGAAACACTCATATCCACTGTGCAACATGTTGGGGTCTATATTTCAGATCTCCTGGAAATTGGTGGGGCCATGTCACAACAGCTCACACTAAAACCTATGCAATTTACATGCTTAAATAAAGATCAGAATTGTATGTTATACAGTTATACATCTAAATCCAGCTATTACATGTTTCATCCACACCACTTTTGTCTTGCATGGGGACGTGTGTGATATTTGTGAATCCAAACACATTAGGAGGACACTATGCTCCTTACTAACATAGTGACAAAATGCTAATACTTTCCAGAAGATTGTTACATACGATTGCACAATTCAGGCCCTCTGTTTAAACAATAGAGAATACAAACTAGTTTATAGGTTTAATGTTTTCCCGAAATTTGAGAAAATCTCCTATCATTGATAATGATTAGGATAACCTTAAATAAATGTTATACTCTTCACCAGGTAAAAACATGCAATCGTAGAATAAGAAGGCCCACTGAGGCACACTTGGAATTTGGAATATAGTGCTATTGCTATATAAATAAAAGGGTCTTGACTTGAAAAAGTGTGGAGGAAAAGGGTATTGCGAAGTGAATATCAAACTGAATTAAAACTGCGGTCACAGACGTGCACGCAGTTGTGGGCGGGCCTTCGCGTCCGAGCGCCTGTAGGGGAGGGTCGCCGGTCGTCCCGGCGTCAAGCAGACGCGCGAGTGTTCTCCGAAATGAGCCGTTCGTCATTTCTCAAACGTTCGGGTCCCGGACTCCCAGGTCTTCCGGCAGCAACCGGGAAACGTATGTGGGCTCGCCGCCTCAAAGGAAAACACATTTCTGTAAAGGCTCGTCGACGATCGATTATCGCGGAGGCTGTCTGGAGGAGCCTTAACCGTGGCGTGCGGTGCAGTGGGTTGTGCAGACGTTCTGCCCTTGACCGTTTGTTTACTCAATAAACGCATCTCCTCTGGATATTAGACCATGTATGTTCCATACCAGTGGAGTTTGCTTTTTGTTGTTGTGTTTATTGATCAAAAAGCAAACCTTCAATACAGCTGTTATGTGGTCAAGGTAAGTAAAGTAATGATTGAAGCTGTGTATTGGTTAATATTAGCGTATGACTTAAAATGAAAACACAACAGCATTTCACAAAACGCCACAGCATTTCAGAAAATGCTACAGCATTTCAGAAAACACGACAGCATTTCAGAAAACGCCGCAGCATTTCAGAAAACACCACAGCATTTCACATTGGACGGAAAGGGTATTCCTTTAGGGAGAACACTTCTTGTTTGTGATTGGACTTGGACAGAGCCAGCCAGAGAAGTACTGCTGTGATTGGTTGTTTTTGCTGCCATCGAAGAAATGACGCTTCGTGATTGGTCAACGTCCGACAGCGCAATATGTCCCAACCGGTCCCTCCCAACACATCAGCCGTTAGCACACACTCAGAGCTCACAGCTCCTCATATCTGTTCAGAAACTGGACAAAAGTTAAACATGTACAAACCACAGTCTGTCTATGTCATGGCGAATACAGTCGCTGCTTTATTTATGTCTGTATGACGTTGTTGTGAGTGTGGACGGAGCAGCTACAGGTTAGTTTAGCCTGATGGATCCGATTCCATTCTGAAAACACGCATTTTAAAAGATTTTCACCTGCCGTCTTGTCTGCAGACTTGTCAAAGCATTAATTCATGGTTTTTACTAACCGTTATCAGTATGTAGTTACTTCGGCATCACTTTGAAACGTGTATTACAATTAAATCACGGTCAAATATGTTCATTTTGTTGTAGTTGGTATCTCCCATAGGATTTACATGGAGATACTTCCCGCCCCCTCTCCAGCGCGTCTTGTTTCAATGACAGGAGCAAACACAGCTGACAGCCGCGGTGAAACTCGAGCGATTAGAGCGATGCGAATATTGGGTAGTCTACCATAGTATTTACATGGAGATAAGCCCCTTAAAAACCATGAATTAATAAAGCATTAATTCTGTGTTTACTCCTGTCATTCAAAAAAGACGCTGGAGAGGGGGCGGGGCGTATCTCCATGTAAATCCTATCGGAATCGGATCGATCAGGCTAAACTAACCTGTAGCTGCTCCGTCCACACGCACAACAACATCATACAGACATAAATAAAGCAGCGACTGTATTCACCATGACATAGACAGTCTGTGTTTTGCATATCTTTAACTTTTGTCCAGTTTCTGAACAGATATGAGGAGCTGTGAGCTCTGAGTGTGTGCTAACAGCTAACGGCTGATGTGTTGGGCCAATCACGAAGTCATTTCTTGATTGGCAGCAAAAACAACCAATCACAGCAGTGTTTCTCTGGCTGGCTCTGTCCAATCACAAACAATAAGTGTTGTCCCTAAGGAATACCCTTTCCGTCCAATGTGAAATGCTGTGGTGTTTTCTGAAATGCTGCTGTGTTTTGTGAAATGCTGCGGTGTTTTGTGAAATGCTGCGGTGTTTTGTGAAATGCTGTGGCGTTTTGTGAAATACTGCGGTGTTTTGTGAAATGCTGCGGCGTTTTGTGAAATGCTGTTGTGTTTTCTGAAATGCTGTGGCATTTTGTGAAATGCTGTTGTGTTTTCTGAAATGCTGTTGTGTTTTCTGAAATGCTGTTGTGTTTTGTGAAATTCTGTTGTGTTACAGTAACGCGTTAGTCTCAACACTGCTTACACAACACATGTATCGAGACAATAAATGAACTGTTTATATAGCTGATCAACACCGTGTATGTTACTCATTACAGGATAATCACATGACACTAAATCAGACCGGCTGTTCTCCTCTGTTTACATCCTCCTGGTTTAAATGATGTGTTCTATAGGCTCTGTGCACAAGATGGGGTCTATCAACTTCCGGCGGCTGAGTACTTCCGGTTTGAGTACAGAACTTTGAGAGCTTGTCACACCGAGAGCAAGAATGAGCGGATTTCGGGGTAAAGAAAAGCGATTGGCCTTCCAGCGTGTAAGAAAGTCGGCACTACATTGCTGCAGGGTCGGCGTCATGGGGGGTCATTCGCGGGCCATGCCCCCCCAAATGAGTCACTGTGCCCCCCCAACGCAGGGTGGGCAAGCCTTATTGCCACTTTTCCGTTTTTTTTTTTTAATCATATATGTTAAAATGTTTTCACCAAAAGTTTTTTGTGTGAAATACATCAGAAATAAAGAATACAAATATGTATTCTTTATTTATTCTTTATATGAAACACAGCCTGAGGTGTGCTCACTGCTGCTCTCTGATTGGTGTGTTGCTTGACCAATGACCCCGACTTTTGTTTTGTTATCATTACGTGGCTGTGTGTTTAGATGAAAGCCCAGTGGCGATCTGTTCATCTGTTATACTGATTATACAGTAAAGCCATCGAAAATAATATGATATACAGTACAGTACAAGTACATGGGTCTCTGTGTTTCATTCAAGCTCGGCTCTCTGTGTGTGGCACGAGCGCATTTTGTCAGTGCGCGAGCGGTAACGTGGAATATTGTTGTTAGCATCTGGTTAGCTAGCTATGCTAACGGATATAAAGAGCTGTTTCTACACCAAGGTGGAGGAGAATCCTCTCCTGTCAGACTGAGAGGATCTTATAACGTCAGCTCAGTGAGGTAAGGACTCTCTCAGTGTTTAGATCAGGGGTGCCCAACCTTTTTTGAACCGAGAGCTACTTTTAAAGTTGCCAGTCTGCCGAGATCTACCAGTCCAAATAACGAGGTGTAGCCATTACTGACAGCCTACTACCAGGTAAATACACACTTCTACTTGTATAAAACTGACCTTTGTACGATTAATACTTCATAAAATACTGCAGATCCTTTATCTTACCTCTTTCTAATCTACACACATACAAGTATTTAACTGAAGTTACACAACAGTGTTGTTGATACAGAGTTGGAGTTTATTCACACGTCACTACAGTGGGTAATGTTTTCAAGAAACATTGAACAGTGCTGCCACATATGACACAGGACAAAAAGAAAAGACTCTGAACCCTTTCTTTGCCATTATATCAAAATAGTGTTGCTACAAAAGTATAAATGAGGCTTACTAATAAGACAACTCAGATCTGAAGCTGCACAGGAATCTGCTGCCAAAGTGCAATAAAAAAGACAAAATTAATAGAATCAAACAATTTTTTTGTTGCATTTTAGTAGAATATAAAAATAAATGCCTTTAAAATAGGATGCAAGCAACACTAGTTTCTTAACCTGAATTGATAATAGACTATAATCAATGTAAACAGAACAGATCTTAATGTTTGCATTCTTATACCATTTTGTACAATAATTATAATGAATAAGTTCAAACAAACTAAAACTTACAGCTGATTAATAACGGTATCTAACTTGAGTTTTTATCAAAAACCTGTTGAAATGCTACTGTTATTTTTACTGTCCCCAAAAAGCGTGTCAGCAGCCTCCAGGAAAGC